TAGGCTGGATTGTTTAAGCATCTCTCAGGAAATCATAACATTTTCTTCACTACATAAATAATTTTTATTTTCATTAATACGTAATATATACATATTTAATTATTAATGAAAATAAACATTATTTATGTAGCAAAGAAAATATTACTATTTTCTGAGAGGTGCCTCAACAACCCAGCCTATATAAAACGCTTCTGCGCCAGAGCTATCGGCGGCTCGGCCGCCAGCGGCCGGGAGGTAGTGGAGAAACAGGAGACGTCGTCTCCTGAATCGGCCCGAAATGTGCAACTAATTCCGAGCGCTGGTTTGAATCATTCAAATAAACTCAATTAATTTAATTTTATTCGTAAAAAACAACAAGTTAATAGAATAGCAGCCGGATAGAATTGCTCAAAAGTTTATTTTATTAAAGAATTATTACAAACCTTTCGGTCTAAGAGATGTGGCCATCTTCAGTATAAAATTGACATAAATAATGTAGTCGTAAGTAGAGAAACGTTGATAAGATAGTTAAGATAGAAAAACTCTCGAACAATGGTTATGATTTTGGTAAAACATCCTCCGATAATATGGTTTGTACATTTTGTTGCTAGTATTATTAAAAGTGTGTAAAGCCAAGGAGCATCTTAAACGGTCCGTCAGAAATGTGTATCAGAAAAATTAAAAATAAGATGTGTGTCAATGGCAGTGAACGGGACTCGGGCATCTTTAAAATTTAATCACTGAGACTTTTGAACAATTCTATCCGGCTCCTGCTCTATTAGCTTGTTGTTTTTCACGATTATTATTTAATAAAGAAGAGCAATAACTTAATATTTACTGTATTTTTTATTTTATTCTATCTTAAAAATAACTCTTAGACCCAAATTTCTTTTGGCGAAAGCTTCGATTGGCGATAGATTATTGCATAACTAATAAACATTGAAAAATGCAATCGTTGTCATACGTTGTAACGTATTGAATAAAAGCTCTTCATTCCATAAATCAGTCATTTTATTTATGTTGTTATGTATTTTCTTATGTATATATTTTCACATAAATCTTAATGGTTGCTCATTCACACAAAGCATACGGGGGCACTCCCCACCCAATACGATACATAAAACCTCAGGAGCAGGCATCGTTGCATCCAGTTTGCTTTGCTATGCGTCGACATATGGTCAAGGTGCTACTTGAAAAACTCACTATATAAATTACCCGGTAATTAGTCAGATTATCGAATCGGCGCGTGTTTGCAAATTTGTGTGTTTACGAGTACGCGATTTTTCAGTAGCATAAAGAAAGAAAAATATCATCATCAAATAGATTCAAGGACATTCGAATTTTACGGGCATTTTTCTACTCTCCTCAAGAGTTTTCTGGCATCGAAGAAGTAAGAGTTGCTAGTAAGATCCGCTGCGCACTAAATTGACATTGCTGCTTAAACGGTATGTATGTGAAAACTATAAAATAATTTTTATTTAAAATTTTATTATCTTACGGATTAGTAATAGCAATTTTTCTTTACAACTTTATTTTGCTCAAAAATACAAAGAGATCACTAAACGGCTCATAAAAATGTCAAGTGTACAAAAGCTAAGTCATAATGTGTGCTATCGTATGGTTTTTGCAAATAGATAACAAAACTTGTATTTTTAAATAGATAACATTTATATACGTACAAGTTTTATCATCTGGTTGTGCGTTACATGTATTACAAATAAGTACATGACAATTAAGAAAGACGTTATCTGTAATTAGTTTTAAATAATAAGTGCAAATATATTTACAAATGCGTAAATTATATTATTAATATTAAATATTAAAACTTGCATTTCTTATTAAATTTTTTGCATATATAAGTTCATGCTAGAGATTTTTTAATTTTAATTTTTTATGGGCGTATAAATTGTTCTGAAGTATGCCATTTATAAAGTGCATTGCCTTTTTATATAACAATGCTGGAAAAAATAAGTTTGTTGTAAATCATATCGTTGGACAAAACATGTACATATACGGTCAATTTTCGAACATAATAAGACAAACAGTCCAGATAAACTGAATCGAAATTGAACAATATTGATCTTGTGATCGACACAGATGCGTTCGTGATTTAATACAAAAGTACTTTTGTATATAAAAATTTAAATCATAATGCTATATATAAATTTACTCTATCTTACATATAATAGAAACTCTCATACCAATATGTCATGTCAATTTTTTCAGACCTCAAAAGATGAATTTTTAAATAGGATACAATGCAAAACATAATATATTTTTAAAAAAGAAAAAGTGGACTTTACATTATTTAAAAAAAAATCGTCTCATATATCTTATCCCAATGTCATTATGTAAGAACTGTGCGAGAAAACAATACATTTAAAAAAATTGAGCGTTTGCGCACGTTTAAAAAGACGTACCATAATATAATCTTTTAATCATCTTTGGAATGTCTTTTAACCTTTTCGTTAATAGTGTAATCATATGACTATTTAAAATTATGTGAGATAAAATATTATAACCATCTATATTCCCATATCGGTGAATATGTATTAGTTTCCTTTTTATTTCTGAATACATGACTATATATAAACATGTAAATATATATAAACACGTGTGTGTACAAAATTTACGTATATTATTATACGTATATAAATTTAAAAAGACAAACCTCGCTATCTACTTTCAGAAATGTTATCTACTTCAGAACAATACGATAGTATAGTTGACATAATGACTTAGCTTTGATATGTATTTACAAATTTCGCAATAAAATATTAAAATATTATCATGTTTTATTTTTTACAATTCGATGACAAGAGTTATTTTAAATGCAATTAATTTTAAAAAATAATAATTTTCTTGAAATAACTTCTATAGATTTACTAATCTGAGAAAAAATGGTATAATTGGTCACATGTAAATATATATAATTAGTTATGAAAAGATCTAAAATAACATATGTAATTTTAAATGATTATATAAAATGTTACATGTTATCAGATCTTTTCATAACTAATTATATATGTTTACATCTAATCATATTATAACATTTTTTCTTGGATAACATACAGTAAAGATAAAAAAAAAAGATTTTTCTTATGTTTAATCACTTTATAATGTAAACTGCTTATTTACATTGTTATGAAACATTGTTTCTCGACGTTTTTCAAATATTTAGATATAATGTATTTTATCACAAAATTACATAACAGTATTACAAAATGACTTTAATCTATCTAATAGTTCTATTTTCAAACTATATCATAATAATTACATATTTCAAACCTGTAAAAATAATCTTCTGTATTTTCCTGCAAATTTTCCAGAAACGAAAAGAATGTTCTATAATTTTCTTGATCGCGATGCTTACAATTAAGGTGCCTTTTCACGCTGACGCTCGACGCTCATTTTTAGCGTCCAAATATGTCACGTGAACAAAGTTGACGCTGGATGTAAGAAATGCATGAAAAGAGTTTCTCGTAAAATTTAGCGTCAGTCAGGGTCTGCGTCGGTATTTATCATTATTCGTATATATCAAAACTGCTAAAAGTTTTTGTCACTAATTTTGTTCAGTTAATTTTTTCACTCGCTTTATTAATAATTATTGTTTTAAATATTAAAAAAAGTGTAATTAAGTAGGAATAAGATAAAAACCTTTGGTTACCAGTTCTACTTATTTTATCGAAAATGCTAAAAAAATGTTTATTAATAATTTTTTTATCATATGTAATATTTTTTATTATATGTTTACAAACATAAAATATTTACTTCATATCATATTATTTATTTTGATAAGTATACAAAATGTATATCTTTTCAATTAAACTAAAGTTTCATAATTTAATTTAGACTAAAACTTTTAGTAATTAGAGTAGGAAAAACGATATTAGAATAGTTGTTCAGTATTAGAAAATTTCTAATGTAATACTTAAGAATAGCATTTTTCAAAAGTTTAGTAAAATTTAAATTAGTATAGAATAAAAATAGCTACAGCTATAATTTGTATATATTATATTTCAAGCTTTTATTTATAATAAAATAACTTTTTATTGAATTAAATTTACATAACATTGATATTAAATTTACATAATTAAACATATATAATATAAAGATAATTATAAAAATATATTTTGCAAATAAATACAATACTGCTGATTCTTCCAAACCTCAAAAAGTATCATTTTTAATTCATTACTTATTTATTCTTTTTATTTTCTTTATATATATGTAGTATTGGATAATAAATTCAATTATTACTTTTTATTACTTAAATAACATCCATTTTTATTGACAAGGTTGAAAGACCACATGAGACATATGCAAATCCAATAGCGAATAGCACGCACAGACAGATCATCGCACAGATCGCACGACTTGACGCTAAAGCTAAAAAAATCCAGTTTTTTTTCTTGACGCTAGCGTCAACTCGAAATCACGTGACTATGGGCAACGCTGAAACGAGCGTCCCATGAATTTGCACCTTTAAGCAATTTACGCGTGACCTATGCATACTCTACGAGTCTTTCAGATTTCAATGTATAATCAGCTTGAATAAATCTCGAACAAAATTTTACTTCTATAGCCAAAGATCAAAACATTTTGTTTTGCAGAAGCACTGAATTATTGGAAATATAGTCTTATGTGTATCCAATTTTAGATATTTTTGCTGTACACACTAATATTGACCGAGCATACTTGACCAAAGGGCAATTTTCTCGAATGGTATTGGTCGGTTTACACAAACATTTAGTCATCTGCAAAAAATGTCGTCGCAAAACCATTAAGAGAAAAAACTATTTAATATGTTGTCTGAGCTGTTAAAAAACAAATAAAAAGAAGCACCTGTGAGAAATTAAGCGTAAAACTTCTGAATAAATTTAAATAGAAAAATTTAAAGGTTACTAAGTAACTGGAATTGTACGCACCTTATCTTATGAAAATCTCTACTTCTTTATTCTGTATCGTAGAAAATATTGCAAATATAATTTAATAAAACAATTTTTGTAAGTAATAAATGTGTTAGAATCTGATATTGTTATCGTGAAAGTTCTTTATTAATTAAAAGACAAATAAGGAAATAGTAATACAAAATAAACGCTTGCGTACGGAGACCCGAACTATTTAGACCGAAGGACGCGAACAGACTAACTACGCGACGACGCATAACTGAAAATATAACGCTGTCCGAAAAACAATAGAATGTATCAGTAGTAGCTCGCTCTCGTAACACTTATCGATAACTTAATACCTCGCGCGTCGGCAAGATCTAATAGAGATTTGTAAAACTTACTTTAACAAAATGGAATAAAGCTCAATTAAAATTACAAAGAGAAAAAACGGCTCGAGAGTTATAATAAAATGTCACGCGTCTTTTTATGTATCTTAAATCTTTTATGTATTTACAATGTCGTCTTTGAAATAAATACAAACCTTTCGGTCAATCATTCAATTATTCTCAGAGTAAACGCAAAAATTTAAATTGCAATATTATAATTTTAAAATACGTAGTTCAGTGCACCTCAAGACATAAATTGAGTGTCACGAAATTTACAAACTGAATTCATGCTATGAAACATATATCTAAAATAACTATGAATCTTTGTAAGTTTTACTTTTATGAGAGAATTTCAATACATCAATTATTATTCTTTCAGTTAATTATACTTCTTAAATATAAAATATTATTAAGGTCATTACACGATCTAATAATATCACAACTAGATTACAATCGATGTGAGATCAAGATTAAACGTTAATACACGTCTATAAATAACATCACAAAAATTCGTGTAAAAGTCGTGTAATATGAAATGTCGGATTTTACATTAGATTAATATAATAGAGCGGTTCCCAGCGTTGAGCAAAGCTGAGTATATAACGGTCCGGAGTATATAACGGTCGCAAAAGTGTTAAGATTTGTTACTAACAAGAAAGGTTTGGCAACCCGAATTTAAAAAAAATATAAGGTGAAAAGCGCAAAGTTCGCACTCACACAATTGAAACGGAGCGAGTACACACTTGAAAGAGAGAGTGAGATACCTGAGAACAATAGAGATTGATGGAGAAAATTTGTTACGAATTGCGATCATACGTGATTTTTTTTTGTTACCGTTAATCCGCAGTTTGACTTTTTTTTCTAAAAAGATTTTTTAAAACTAATTGCACAGGTGTCGGCCTATTGCGTGTACTTTTGTTTTGTGTGATAAATAAACTATTCTGTTCAAGCTCAGTAAATGTATTAAATTAATTGACTACATATACGAACTTTTATTCCAACATAATTTAATGTAATTATGTAATTACGTAATTTGTAATTATTTTTAACATTATTATTTATTAAAATAACAATGTAATTCAGCGATACTTGTCAGTGAAAATTATTTTCAGCTGTAATAAACCAATAAATTTTATATTCAATTAACATAATACGCAATGTGTTAGATAAGTAACGTTTATTCTATAGAACAATGCTGCTAAAAGTACGCGTGCCATTTAGTATCGTAAACGTCGTACATCGAGTACTAAACTGGATCTTCTTGTTCGTCTACAAGAAATCATCACAAAATATACCACCTGCAACGAATCCTTTATTTACATTAAGCGCTACTACGCTAGCTAAAAAAATTAGACAAAGAGAGGTGAGTGTACTCATGACACTTTTACGGTGACATTTTAGTTGTCGTACTATACTTTTTTTATAGTATACACTATAAAATTTTTTTACAACGGTTAAATTTTATTATAATTAAATGCAATTTACTGTATATTTTATTAAAATAACAAAAATTGTTTATCCATAAAAACTAGATAACAAGCTACGAGGTAGTGAACGAATATATAGAGCGAATTAAGGAAGTGAATCGTCATTTAAATGCCGTTGTTGACAATCGATTCGAGGATGCCATAATTGAGGCAAAAATCTGCGACGAACAATTAAAAACTGAAAAATTTGATACCGAAACTTTAGAAAAGGAAAAGCCACTTTTTGGTGTGCCGTTAACTATCAAAGAAGCTATCGCTGTCAAAGGTACAAATAATTTGTATTCTTATAAAAATATCTCAATAATTCACTACGAAACAGCTCGTTAATGAACGTGATTGCACCCTAACAAATCTTATTTTAAAAAGATGCAAAGATAACTGCTTGGAATATTTAGTCATTGACTTAATCGCGTTATAGGATGCAGTTATACTGGTGGCATTTTAAATCGCAAAGAGATAAAAGCAACTTACGACGCACCGATCATCGAATTGATCCGAAATTCTGGCGGAATCCTTGTATGCGTCACAAACACTCCAGAATGGTGTAGCGGATTAGATACCATGAATCCATTGTACGGACGTACCTATAATGCTTACGATAATAGATTTACGGTCGGCGGATCATCTGGCGGAGAGGTAATTCAGTTATAATAACGTATACATGTAACTTACCGTAACTAAGTTGTACAGTTATCCTTTCGATTTAAGTCAAGATTAAAATGTCTCATATTTACAAGCAAAAGATACGCTATTGCTCATTTACGACTCTTATCCAAAATATTTTCTTATCTTGTAGAAAATGCATTGATAAACGCATCTCTGTTCAATATTTGTCGTGTGTTCTACATTAAAAATTATTATTTACATAAAAAATAATCTCATAAGCTATATAAAAATTTAAAAAAATAAAATTTAAAAAAAAATTTTAAACAATTTCTTGTTGAAGGCTGCATTACTCGGAGCAGGTGCTTCTTTGATTGGAATTGGTTCGGATTTAGCTGGTTCCATACGATTACCAGCTATGTTCAATGGTATTTTCGGATTCAAACCTACGGCTGGTAAATTATTCGTTTTTTAATCTGAGCGTTTCAACTTTTTCATTGACTTTAATTTAATGAACTTGATCTTTCAAAATGTTAAATATTTATAATTTAAAACAAAGAGAGAAAAAAAATAAAGAAAAAAAACTGCATATTAATTTATTGCGTAATTTCTTTTTTGGTCTTGCAGGAATTATTCCAACTGAAGGACACCTACCAAGGTGCGAGGATATAGCCTATCTAAAACTTCTGAACTTAGGTCCAATGACGAGATACGCAGAAGACCTCGATCTGTTAATGAAAGCACTAACGTCAAAATGTGAACATAACTTGCGTTTGGATGTGCCGGTGGACTTGAAGCAATTAAAGGTCTACTATCTGCAAGCCTTGGACAATACGTTAGGCTTGTTGCCGATATCGTCGGAAATTAAAGAATGTATATTGATGGCCGCGAATCATTTCAAAAACCATAATATTCATACGGAGCAGGTACGGTATTTTTACCACGTACGTTTAGTATATTTACGCAAATAACTTAACATGTTACTTAACGTTGTAGTTACCAATAGAATGGCCAACAACTGTCATTGAAATTACATTGGCTGCACTTTTCAGTGTAAAGGATACTTATTCCCTACTAAAAGACATAAACGATCCCATGGTATGTAAATTTAATTTAACAAAAAATAATTTTCATTGAAATTCAGTGTTTCGTTAATCTAAAATCCCATCTCCGATACGACAGAGAAGAAAAGTTGAATTAATATTTGACACATAAAAATATTATTGAAATGTTATTTTTCGATTAAAGTGCAATCTGCTTATTTTTTTGACATTATAAGACATAAATATTATTATGAATAACGTTTGACGATTGTCGATAAATAAAAATATTTAACTACTTTTATGTATGCAAATGTAAAATTCGGCTTTACACCCTATCGTCCTATCAATCTTATCGTTGCTGCAGATCTACAAGTATATAATCACCGAATTTGGGAAATCTCTGCTCGGCATGTCGTCCTACACGAAACAAATGCTTTTTAACTCCATGATCCTACAGAAACGTGTTCCATTTTCGACGTCAGACTTATCATATTACACAAAAAAGGGAGAATTACTTCGACAAAAGTTACTGGTTAGTGGCCCGAACGTTAATTACATAATATACAAACCGGTTCTTGAACACCATTATTAACGAATTTTTTTCATCTCTTTTTTTGCAGGATTTGTTAGGAGAGAACGGGGTATTTATTTGTCCAACTTTCCGAAGCTCGGAAATTTTTGCAAATCTTATCCTATGCGAATCACTGAACGCTGCGTATTGCGCTATATTCAATGTTCTCGGCTTTCCCGCAATACAAGTGCCAATGGGACTCAATCGCGATGGATTACCTATCGGTGTTCAGGTAAATTACTGATATAAGATTTCTTTTTCCTTCTCTTTTTCTCCCCCCTCCCCTTCTCTCTTTCTCTCTTTTTCTCTCAGACAATTTATTTAGCAGTATATTCAATTGCAGGTGATAGCAGCGCCTTATCAAGATCGCCTTTGCTTGGTGGTTGCAAAAGAACTGGAAAGTGCTTTTGGCGGCTGGACACCGCCGTCGGCAGCGGTAGTCCAATAACAAACTGTTAATCGCTCTTAATTCATTTTATAAATAACCGATACAGTTATTTCACATTTGCTAAAAAAAGTGAAGAATGAAATCTGCAGTAACAGTCAACATAAGTCTAAAGCTATGTATAACAAGTTGCTTCCCTAATCTCTTGCAGGCACATGTACTTTTGTACTTGTGTTTTGCGTTTTCGAAAAATCTGATTTTTAGGTGTAAGAAAATTTGTTAATGTATTAGCAATTATTTTGCGGTGAATAGACATTGGTTGTGCTCAGAAAATAATAATAGTTATATAATTATTTAATAAAAATGACCTGTAATTACTTTCTATATAGATTATACATGTTTTTTTCCACAGTGAATGTTTCAAGATTTATCTATTTTATAAATAATAGTCATCTCACCGTTTTGTTTTCCGCATAATCAATAAATGCATATTTAACGATCGCTCATAAGCTTTGACATAACTTATCTAATACATTTGAATTATGAATTTACTCTGTACATGTGAAATGTTTCGCTTACGCGATTATTACTAGTTTAAAAAGATTCAAAAAACCGATTGCGAAAAGAACCATTATAAACTCATTATTATTCAGTGCACCAAATGGCTATCGTGCAGTAAGTTTTTAAAAAAGTCATGTCATTACGTTTATTCGAAGCTTCGTAATGCGAAACTCAATAGAAATAAAATTGTGAAACATTGTGCTGACATCACGTAAGTATCATTCATAATATAATGCGTGCATTATTTTAAAAATTCTTTGAAGTTTAATAGTTTCAAATTCTATTTTATGGTTAGTGATTGCCAGGTAATATTTTTTATATATAATATATTAACGATTGTGTTTTACATCAGGCGTAAAATGTTTTCTAATATACATGTATTCTGTTTTTAAATCAAATACATGTTTTTTGTTGCTGAAAACTTATTAATGTACATCTATCAATGTAATATATTTTTAATATATAATTATTAATATATGCAGTAATCATGTAAGATATGTATTAATATTAATAAATTATCTCTTTTGGTATGAAATTGATCTTATTTTCGTTTAAGCATAACCATTTAAAATTTTTCATACAATAGAGTTCTAATGGTATTGTAGGGATCAGTAATGTCTATCAGTAATATTAATTTATTATTATTAATATAGCAACTGTGTGTAATTTAAATGTTTTTTTTTTTTAATAACTTTATTTTTGTCAGTTAATATCATAATATTTTAGTAACTCAATTACAACATACATAATTAATTAACTAGTTAATTATTATCACAATATCTAAATAAGTAGTACAACTTACGTCATTATTTATTATTGTCAATATTTTTAAACTACTTCTAATAGCAGCTTGCTGTAACCATTTCCATGCAGATTGAATAGTATTTATTTACGATATAATTTCTGAATAATCTAATGCAGCGCTCGGAATTAGTTGCACATTTCGGGCCGATTCTGGAGACGACGCCTTTTGTTCCCAATAGCTCTGGCGCAAAAGCGTTTTATATAAGAAATAGGCTCGGTTGTTGAGGCATCTCTCAGAAAATAGTAATATTTTTTTTGCTACATAAATAATGTTTATTTACATTAATAATTAAATATGTATATATTATGTATTAATGAAAATAAAAATTATTTATGTAGTAAAGAAAATGTTATGATTT